TTCAAAGTGAAAATAGCATATGTACACTTGGAAAATCACCTCTAAACATGAGTGATTACCTAAAAATCGTCTACAGTCAACATGTTTAGAACTTTCAAACACATTGAGAAGAAATAGAAATATCACTTACAGTTCAGTTCCAATAATTTTTTCCAAAATTTATCTCTTAGTATTTTGCAGAAGAGTCTTAAGCATTGGAAGCAAAGATAAGTGTTTTAGAGAGATTCTATTCCTAGTGGCCAGAACCACAATTCTACATACTGAGCTAATGCTAGAGAGCTGGAGTGGAGGGCTTCGCAGGAGACTGTGTGGGCTGCAGAGACAATCTTCCAGCTCTTCCTATTTTGCCTCCTTATCTCTGTAATCTCAGGGAATGTCATGGGATGCCAGAAATCCCAGAAACTGTCCTTTGTGATGGTGACTACAGATTGGGGGTTTTACCAGATGCTAGACACATCAGGTAACCGACCTTGGGGAATTTTTGTGTGTGTGTGTGTTATGCCTGCATGTAAGTGCACCTGTGTCATTGTGTCATGCAATGTCCATGGAGGACAGACGAGGGCATCAGATCCCCTGGAACTGGAGTTACAGATGGTTGTGAGCCACCATGAGGGTGTGGAATTCAAACCTGGGTGCTCTGCAAGAACAGCCAGTGTTCTTAACCACTGAGCCATCTCTCCAACCTCTGCCTCCAATTTTAAAGGATTTTTAAAGAAACGAAACTGCCCACATTATAGTCTAATTGAGGACTACAGGGAATATTCTTTCTAGCCACTGATATAAGCAAATCTCAGAACCTAGACATGCTGGTTCAGGATTAAAAATATTAGAGACTGTAATGGAATGGATTGTTGATTGCTGAGAAGAATCAACATGAAGTCCTTAAACATTAATTTGTCTCTGGAAGAATGACTGAAAAAATATAAATGATAATAAGGATGAAAAGATATCACTGAGTCACTTGGTTTGGATATTATGACTAAGCTGAGCTGGCATCAAATTATTCTCACAAATATTCATGAGATATTGTAAAGTAAATAGCATACTTTAGCATTTTGTTCAGGAAGCCTGTGACAGAAGACATTGATGCTTGCTCCTCCTCCTCTAAGGACATCATATAACTAATGATTGTTAGTGTTTTTTTAATATTTTATTTATTATTTTTATTTTATGTATATGAGTGTTATGCCTGCATGTGGGTAAGTGCGCCTGTGTCATGCAATGCCGGAGGAGGACAGAAATCTGGGAGAGTGAGGAGGAAAGCAGGAAAGACTCTCACAAGAGAAATGCTGTTTAAACACTCATTGTTACTTTCTTTTTCTTCTTTCTAAAAATATTATACTTATTTTTATTTATTTTATGTGTATGAGTGCATTGCCTTCATGTATGTGAGTGCACCATGTCATGCAATGCCGCGGAGGTCAGAAGAGGACATAGGATTCCCCCAGAACTGAAGCTAGGGATGATTCATAGCCACTATGGGGGTGCTGGGAATCAAACCCAGGTCTTCTGCAAGAACAGTCAAGTACTCTTAACCACTGAGCCATCTCTCTGGCCCTGATTGTTAGTTTTTTTAAGTTTTTAATATACAATCTATTACAAACTTGGGAGGGGATGGGGTGTGTGTGTGTGTGTGTGCCAGAGGATAATCTTGGGTGTCATTACTCAGGTGCTAGCCACCCTTTTTTTGAGACAGGGACTCTCACTGGCCTAGAACTTGTCACATAGGTTAGGCTGGCTGGCCAGAAAATCCCAGCGATCTACCTGTGTTCACCTCTACAGCACTGAGAATTACAAGCCTGCACCACAATATGTAGTATCTTTTAATGTGGGTACTTGGGGTTGAACTCAGGTCGTCATGCTTATAAGGCAAGTACTTTACCAACCAAGCTACCTCTTCAGTCCCATTACTAACTTTTGAACTTGTGTTATTTAAACAAAATTCTTAATCCTTAAATTAATTATAGATTTTTAAATATTACATTGATTAGTGTAGCCCAGAGAGTTTCAAACATTAGATTTTTACCAAAGAGATTACTCCTAAC